TTGGAAAATTTCGGAATTTTTTGGGCCCCTCCGGGCTCGTCCCTCGCTCCCCCCCCGGGGCCCCCCTTCGCTCATTAATTAATTAATTAATTCACGACTTAATTAACTTCTCCCCGCCCCGTTCGTGACCTCATTCATTCCGCCCGTTCGATGCAAATGGATGGAGATTTATGCAAATGTATGTAGATTTATGCAAATGAGGCGGGTTTAGCGGCGGCGCCGCCCCGGCCCCGCTCAGAGCCGCGCGCGCGGCCGCGATTTTGGGGCGAAATCCCCGGAAAAGGAGAAAAAGGAGGAAAAGGAGGAAAAGGAGGAAAAGGAGCGCGAGAGGCCCCGGGCGGCGCCCAAAGGTCGGGACCCAAATCCGGGAAAACAAAAACCGGGAGAAAAAAACGGGGAAAAAACATCGGGAAGAAAAAATCCGGAAAAAAAAAAAAAAAAAAAGGGACAAAAATCCGGAAAAAAAAAACAAACTCCGGGGAAAAAATAAAAAACTTCAGGAAAGAAAATCAGGAGGGAAAAAAACTCCAGGAAAAAAAACTCCGGGAAAAAAAATCAACTCCGGGAAAAGAAAAAACTCCGGGAGCGGCGGCGGCCCCACCCCGGCCGCGCCCGGGGGGAGAAAAATGGGAATTTGGGGCCGGAAAATGGGAATTTTGGGGAGAAAAATGGGAATTTGGGGAGAAAATGGGGATTTGGGGGCGGAAAATGGGGATTTTGGGGTGGAAAATGGGGATTTTGAGGTGGAAAATGGGAATTTTAGGGCGGAAAATGGGAATTTGGGGTGGAAAATGGGAATTTGGGGTGGAAAATGGGGATTTGGGGGCGGAAAATGGGAATTTTGGGGCGGAAAATTGGAATTTTTGGGGCAGAAAATGGGCGAAACGCCCCCCCCGGGCAAAGGGATTTTTGTGGGATCGGGAGCGAGGAAATCCCGGGAATTTTGGGGGTTCCGCCTCTTTGGGAGTTTGGGATTTTTGTTTTCCCGGGAAAAATCCCCCAAATTCCCTTTTCCTGCTCGGGAACCCCAAAAATCTTCCCGGGTTGGCCTCGGATTTGCAGGGAAAAAACAAAATTCATTTCCCCGCTGGGTTTTGTGGGAAAAAAAAACTGGAAGGTTTTTTTTCCTCCTTGTTTTGACAGGAAAAATCCCCCAAAATTCCCTTTTTTTCCCGGTTTTGGGGGGGAAATCCCGAATTTTCCATGTCCCCGCTTGTTTTGACAGGAAAAATCCCCTCAAATTCCCTTTTTTCCTGATTTTGGGGGGGAAATCCCGAATTTTCCATGTCCCCGCTTGTTTTGACAGGAAAAATCCCCCCAAATTCCCTTTTTTTCCCGGTTTTGGGGGGGAAATCCCGAATTTTCCGTGTCCCCGCTTGTTTTGACAGGAAAAATCCCCCAAAATTCTCTTTTTTTCCTGGTTTTGGGGGGGAAATCCCGAATTTTCCGTGTCCCCGCTTGTTTTGACAGGAA